GGATGGGACCGTTGCTGTTACCCGCCCCCAAGAGCAGCACCGGCGGCTCCCGGCCCACTTCCAAATGTCACTGAAAGGTCCCGGGTTTGTCAATAGACCTTGGGGCAACTTTTTTCTGCCCAGGACTGCCCTGCTCGCCCGGTGCTGGGCTCTGCTTGAGCCCCGTCACTGAACCGTGGCCTCCCCTCACAGGGGAACAGGGGCTCCAGGGCTGGTAGCGGGTTTGGGGGCTTTTTGGGTGGGCGAGAGCTGGGGGATCTGGCAAGCACGAGGCCGCGCTGCTGGGGGATGTGTCGCCCTTGGTCCTGGTGGTTTCCCAGCCCTTTCTGACGGGTACTCTCTGGCTGCAGACATGCCACAGGCAAAGCTCAGCATGGGAACTTCCTGGTGGCCATCAAGCAGGAGAAGGGAGAGTCGGCACGGACGAGCGGCGAGAAGCCGCACGGCGAGGAGGAGGTGAGCTCCGGTGCCCACATCCCTCCCCACGCGGTCCCTGGGAGGGGGGTCTGTGTTGCCCAGCCTGGGCCTGTCCCTCCACTCGCCCTTCAGCAGCCCGGGCACAGCTGGGCGAGCCCGTGGCTGCGGCCATGGCCCGAGAAAAGGCCCAGACCTTCACTCGAGGGTCGGGAGCCCCAGGCGGGTCTGCAGGTTGCTCCTGTGTCCTGCCAGCGCAATGGCGCCATGTGCTCTGATCCATGCCGGGTTGTCCCTTTCCCTTCGCTGGGTGCCAGCCGGTGAAGAAGAGGGGCTGGCCCAAGGGCAAGAAGAGGAAGAAGATCCTTCCCAACGGCCCCAAAGCCCCCGTGACGGGCTACGTGCGTTTTCTGAACGAGCGGCGTGAGCAGATCCGCACGCAGCATCCTGACCTGCCCTTCCCGGAGATCACCAAAATGCTGGGGGCAGAGAGGAGCAAGCTGCAGCTTTCGGAGAAGCAGGTACCAGCCCCCAGGAGAGAGCCCCCAGGGCTGGGCAGCATGCTCCAGAGCCTGCACCCCAAACCCCTTTGCTCATTGCCTGGCTGCAGCTCCACAAAGGGAGCTTGTCCCAATACTGGCGGGCTGGTGAGCAGGAGCTGGGCCTTGAGTAGTGGGGAGGGGTTGGCAGCCCCCCGGCGAGCCTGGGGCCGGGCCAGGCTGAGGACCCTCTGTGACCGTAGCGGTATCTGGACGAAGCGGAGCGGGAGAAGCAGCAGTACATGAAGGAGCTGCGGGAATACCAGCAGTCAGAGGCCTACAAGATGTGCACGGAGAAGATCCAGGAGAAAAAGATCAAAAAGGGTGAGCTGTGGGAGCAGTGTCTGCCAGCGTCGCTGCCAGGATCCGGCCAAGTGCTGCCAGAACCTCTGGAGGGATGCCGGGCTGGCTCCTAGCGTAACCTCCTTCCTCCTTTCCAGAGGACGCGGGCTCTGCGGCAGTGAACACCC